TTTTGAGCTGGGAATAGCGTTTAATGGACAATCCCATTTAACAAAGTGCACGCAACTGCGAGACAAAACAAACCAATGGATGATTTGGGAGTCGCTAACTTAATTGGACTGTTTTGAGAACTCGCTGCAGCTTGTGATACAAGAGAGGCTGCCATCGCAACAAAAGTGTAACTGCGCTGACGCCAATGGGAGAAAAACTGTTAAAATTTTAAGCATTCGCAATTTGTGTATACTTGCTTTGAAGATATTCATATTGAACTGCAAATGCCTTAATAATATATAAAGTATAACAAAGTAAAAAGAGCTCTTGTATTGGAATCTGTATCGGTATCAGCAGTTGTGTATCGGAATCGGATCGGAACTGAAAAAATGTGGATTGCCCATCTCTACCTCAAACAATGACAGTCAGTAAAAATTGTTTGACTTTTGTATCGGTAATTATTGCCTGGATTCTCCTGACTATCAAAATGCTGCTCCATTCACACGCCTTCAGGACAGGAAGAAATCTAACCCTGCCTTCAAGTCGTGTCAGAAAAATCGTAAATACGAGATGAGCGCACGTGAATGCCACTACAAAGTCGTATTTACCAGTGGGAAACTTGGGACTTTATTTAAGCCCCGAGTTCCCAAATTGGAAGCCTGTCAGTTACGGCAGAGACAATGGATAGCTCCACTGTGAAAGGCAACTTATTTTGAAAGCAGACCATTTTATGTCGCGTGTCACTGCAAAACTGTTTTGAATGTTTTTCATCGTGTACCATGAAATTTTTTTTGACAGCCTTTTGTCTCAATATTTGATATGTAGCAGTTGGCCACCTGTTGTTTGAGCAAGGGATTACGGAAAGTAATCTAGTCATTTCTTTTGTTTTGCATATTTTGGCATTGAAGGAACGCAAAATAAAGCAAAACAAGAACTTGCTTTCTTATCACCTCCATTTTTCACAAGACTTAACCGATTGAACGCGCGTCATGTTATAATTACAATTTTCCAACTCCCTAGTTGGATCTTCAGCATGTATGCAGGGTCTCCTTCCCTGTTTGTGCACTTGTAATGCCGATTCATAGTTGTAACACAGCTTCTAAAAATGTTAAAATGTGAAATTGCATGAAATACATAGGTAATTCACTTATAGCTCAGCAGCGGAATCAATATTTTTTGCACCGAGAATGTAACGTTTTCCATGGGTTTCATGTGTTTTTTGTGGGTGTATGGGGAGTCGCCTTGGGCCACTTCTGATTGGTGAGCATGACTGGCACATGAGGAGCACGGCACTTCTGATTGGTGAAAATGACTGTGACACGAGGAGAACAGCATGAATTAGTAAAAAATATCTTCAGAACAGTTTGAAAATTTTGGTCAGTCAAGCTGTAGAATGCATTTCCAAAATTGCAGTCTTTGCGATTTGGAGATCACATTATTTCGATTTGAAATTGATAAATCGTTCTGCCCTAGGTTCTACTGTTTATTCATTTCCCATTCTAAAATATCCTAACTTCACTATATAGATCAGTCCCTCCAGGATTTAACGATATTTTTTGTGATTTTTGAATGACTAATTTGTGGCGGTGTTTTCTCAAAATTTGCAAGAAATTTTGCTATTTTTTTTACTTTGGTAAACTCCATCCAAGGTCTACATAGGCTAGTGAGACTCAAAATGAGTGAGAGAATAAGAAAACCAACAGGCAGACAGATTAATTGCATGAACATTTTTTTTTTTATTTTCTGTTCTTCAGTCTTGATGTAATTGCCTCAATAAATCCCAAGATTTGTGAACACAAGCCCACACAGACATTGCCCACATCTTTCCACAAATGTTCAAAATGAGTCATTCAAAAATAACTTAAATTCTTAAATTAACTTAAAAACTTAAATTAACTGTTATTCTGAAAAACTTAAATATAATAAGCTTTAAAGCTGAAATAATAGGTAAACACCAGAAAATACTAAATTTGTTGTGTCTTCTATCAATTGCCTCAAAAACAGAGATGCCTTTAACTTGTAGAGATCAGCTAACATCAACACGGCCCAAAACTTTTCACAGCTAGAAAAAGAGTGATCTGAATCAAACTGATAGACACAGAAACATTTTCAACATTTCAGTGTAGCTGCCTTCAAACACCACATTTTCCAGAAATGTTAATGTGACTTTACATCTCAGTTTCATCAAATGCCTCATCATCTGCTTCCGAAAAACATACTCAAGTCGCTGATTATAGTACAGTATAGTATAGTACTTACTCACAAGAGGATGGTCAGTCTTTGAAAGAGATGTTGAGTGCGATGCACATGCGGACCCAATCTTCACGTCTGCGAAAACACAATTACTTATTCTAATGACTTTACATTATTCTGAGCAACCACCACCACACACAACATCAGATCCGCATCAAAATTATATGCCTAACAATTTTTGGGTAATTTTTTGCAAAAATTATGTGATAGGATACAAAATATGCAGCATCGTGAAAATATGCGGAAAATTGCTGATTTCGCGAGATTTGATGGGATCGCAAAATCACGAGAAACTGGAGGGACTGATTGATGCAATAAAGATACGTCTAAGTGAGAAGGAGTGCAATCTCTCTGTTTGCAGATGGGATCATTGCCGTCGTTTTCACTGCTTATTAAGTATATTTTGTTGCTAACACAGGCAACTGACACTAATCGACGTTTCTGCGAATCCA